TGTGGCCTTACAGCAAGGACATTTTTCTTGACTGTATGACTAAGGGGAAGGATGCTATGTAAACTTGTGCATAATTTCATATGTTCTAACCCAAGTAAGTTAAAGCAGAAGTGGCTGACCTCGTTTGCGCAAATAGGTCGTGTTGTCACTACGACTTTGTTGGGCATACCTTGTCCGAAGTAGTCTTCTATAGTGGTTATCATAATTCCATGCGCCGGACCGTGGACGTGGTATATTCTCAGACGGCAGGGGCGTCGATAGGACCTAGGTAGGTCGAAACTGCAGTCGACCTTGGATGAGAATCCCTGAGAAAGTAAGGCTTTGTGAAATTCGATGGAAGCGGCAACTCTATCCATATGATTGTGTGAAAATTCATCTTCCAGTCCTTCGTCACTTTAAACCAGAAAGGGTGAATAGAATACATCCCATATAACCGATTTGCTGGTAGTCTCGAAACCCTACTTTTAAACGAAAAATATATATGAACTGGTATTAGAAGAATCCCTTAGCAGCCTAATGTTAGAGTACCTTTCATTTCGTTCGAATAGACGAGTGGAAGAGAATAGATAAAGCTGTGGGGGGATTGCATTGGAGTTGTGACTGTAGATTTGTGCGAATAGGTCCTAGGCGCACAGCCCTGTGACCTGGATTAATCTTTGCTGGGCTTTCGTCCGTCATATGGCAGACATCAGGTGAAACTCTTCCACTCACCTCTCCTAATTAAATGAAAGATACTCCAACATCCCTGCAACAATGTTATCTTAAGAGACTCAACGAAACCCAGCTACTCTTCCTATTTACATCATATGACGGACGTCGTCAGAGTTGTAGCTCATTATTTCAAAAGCTTCAAATTAAAACTAAGTTAAGATGACTATCTTATTCTCTCCCACTCCAGCAATACTATATGTGAAGTGCCTCGTGGTGTGCGGCGTAATGGTTAACGCGAAGAGAATATACGCTACCTTACCATAACCCGGGTTCGAGTCCCGCTGTGGGTGCTGAGGAAACCAATTCAGACGAGGTCAAAATTGCAGTCCCTTTTGGAAGCAAGGCTATGCGAAATTAAATGGAAAAGTTTGGATTACTAATATCATTGTGGCAAAATCCAACTACCAGTTCCTCTTCACTAAACTAAATAGGATGAATTCAGCTCTTATATCAGATCCACTGGTAGTCTTAAAGCCTATTTGTAAACGAACCTAAAGTGGATCCGTCTGCACAGTTCCTCTTCAGTATAAATAGGGCCTCTGAGGCTACAGTAACTATGGCAGTGGAGCGCCAATCATACATGCCTGAATCCCATCGATGCATGGTAGCCCCAGTTGTAAGCAGCTCCAAAATCCATGGGAGACGCAAATCAGAGGCTGGTGATGGCCTCATTACCTGAGGTTGCGGGCAGGGGCCAGAAGAAGAGAGCTGGTAGGGACGGGGATGGCGCGGGACTCGGAAAAAAGGGGAACCAGGCACCGGGAGCAGGTTGAAGCCAACTTCGCGGCCGGTAGCACTCGGGTCGGCGTAACTGCAAGAGGAAGCCACGTGTACCAAAAAATGCAGATTAATCAGTGGGACTTCTTTAACCCGAGGGTCGCAAAGGACTACTTTCATCCGCCCTTCCCTGCCACTTTCCTCCCCACTCATCAACTCTCCCTCAACATTCCGCCTTGCCGACCAGATCGTCGGTCAAGCCTCGTGGAAGGCCCCGGTACACACCGAGATTACCAAAGCCTTTCTTTTCACCCAGTCTCTTGTGTGTTTTTCGGAAATATACACACATACGCACACGTGTGTGCAAACACACTCGCATGAAAATGCAGATTTTAGTTTATTGGTTAACCTTGGCCGTCGCTTACACAAGAATGCGCACCACAATAGACCCAGACGGATGGGAGGACGTAGAGGTGGGCGGGTGG